AATCTGCCTTAGTTTTCTTCTCTTTTGGTGATGGGGATTGAACCCAGGGCCTCATGCATGCTAGACAAATAAATGCTCTGCGACTGGGTTATACCCCAGCCCCTTAATTTTCTTAATATAAAAACTATTTATACAGGTATTTTTAATATTTCCTAAGTGGAAACTTGGCTTTTGGCTAGAGCACTGTTATTTTCTAATTCTCTATAATAGAGAGGATAGTTTTTTTTTTGGTGGGGAGGTGGGGGCAGAGGTTTTTTTAAAAAAATAATTTTAATCCTCTCCCTAACCTCACAGCAACCCACCTTTCTCCTACTGTCTCTCTCCCCCAGGTTTCTTTACATTATAAATCCCCAGATGAGGTAAAATGACAAACTATGAATGAAAACTTTACATTTTTCTCCAGGAAAAATTATCTAACATTTAATAAAGAAAAATAAATAATCCAAGATGTCACTGAATATAAGGACTCTATGATCTCTAAAAATACGCAATGGTGAAGAGACAATGAAGAAAAGTAATAATAAAAGCAGCTCTCATTTGGCACTTTTCTTTTGCCTCAGCCCTCAGTGTTGCTGGGATTACAGGTATATGCACTGAACTGAGCTCATTTGGCGAACTTTCAATACTAGCTAGACATTGCTGGAAAGGATATATGTGTATTTAATCCTCACCATGCAAGTAAGACATAAGTACTGGTATTATTAATTTGCAAATGAGAAAATTTAAATGTAGTTGTTTGCCCTTACAAAATGAGTTATAATGGTGAGGGCAAATAAAAATTAATCACTGGTTAAATACCCTTCCAGTGATTTGGTTCAGGTGAATTTTACAGAATTGGCTAGCAAATATTTAACAAAATTTAAATGGGATGGAAGAATATGCTGCATTTTTAATGCTAATGAAGCCTTTCTCAAACATCAATTATCAGATGCATAAAGTAAATTGCTGTCCAACATACATGGCATTTATATTATGAATGCTTTGATCTCCCCAAAGGCCCAAGGCCCTGATGTTGGGAAATACCCTAATAATTAATTTCTCTGACACCTTCCTGAGCTTCTCCCTGTTATGAATTCCCTGAGGTTGACTTGGTTCTAAGCAGCAAAAAGGCATTCCCAGTTTCCTTATGTTTATGGAATTTCCCAGTTTTCACAACTGAATTCTGATGTCTATTAAATTCTGACACAAACAACCCCTTTCCAATTTCTAACATTTATAAAGTTTCCTGTCAGTCACAGCTGTTATATAAATATAAGAGTCTTTTAGGCATATATCCATAGTATCTGATATTCAGTTAAGTCGCTAACCTCAAATGTTTCCTCACATTCCTTCAATCATAGGCTTAAAAAAAAGTATGAAATTTTATGAGGTCAATCAAATTCTGAGCCTTCATTCGCTTCTCTGTCCTATATGAATTCTCTGATGTTGAGTAAGGTGTGAGCCACGAATAAAGGCCTT